GAGAACAGATAGATAAATTAAACACTAGAGAAGGTACAATGATAATTTCCTACATCTGTTAAACAACTGTTAGAAAGAATATGTGAAACAATAAGGTAGACTGTATAGAATATACAAAAACTATAGCTGTCCAATATATAAACAATAGGTCATTTAAACAATCTTATGGAAGAAATAGCTCTAGTAAAGCAATAAACTACTATAAAAGAATATATCATGAAGATTATATTCTATCCCACCCCACTAGCATTGACTACAGACAGACAGACAGACAGACAGACAGACAGATAGATAGATAGATAGATAGATAGATACAAAGGGCTTCAAAAAGTTCGTGGAAATTCCTTCATCTTTTCATATCATTTTCCACTAATTTTTTGAAGCCCCTTGTGTAGGCATACATATGTATCAACAATAGCAAAGACTTAAATATAAAGCAAGAAGCATAAAGACACTGGAATGCCTGACATTGTTGTTTTTATAACCATTCTAAAACCCATTTCTAATTTTATTCACAGAGACAATGTGCTGAGATCAAATATTCACCACTTCAGATATCCTTATAGCTCGAGGTAGTATGTGGAAGTTTTGGCCAACAAGACCTCAGTTAAGGGTTTCTGGAGCAACTTCCTAAGACAGAGAGCCTCAGGCTGTGTTTTCTCTTCCTTCTGTCTACCTGGAGTCTAAGCCTGACTAAGTAAGTCATCTTGTGATCATGAGACAACAAACATCAGGGTAAAAGCTGGCAGAAGGGACAGATGAGAAGACCATGCACTTGATATGGCTCTTCCAGCTATAGCTTTTGTAGTTCTTATCAAATAACTGGGTGTTTTTGTTAATGCCATTGAGTTGGTTCTGACTCATAGTAACCCTACATACAACAGAACGAAACACTGCCTGGTCCCCTGCATCATCCTCAATTGTTTTTATTTTAAGCCCAATGTTGTTGCCACTGTGTCAATTCATCTTGTTGAAGGTGTATGGTAAGACTAAGCAAATCTGAGGTGTTTGTGGTCTACCAAGAGCATTGGATAGCTTGCTAATGATGTAAAAGAGGTACTTGGCACCCATGTGGGGTGGGATTATGCTAACAGTGTGCATGGAACTGTAATGTGGGAATTGGTCAGTTTTTCAATACTGCTAGGTTTAAAATGATACCATATCAGAAGCAAAACATGGAGTTCTCAATACCATCAAGAAAATAGAGCCAGGCATAGAATGAATGCATCTTTTTTACCATGAGATCACTGCATCTCACCAGAGAAGTGGCAACAGCAGAGGCAACAGCATGAAGAGCACCAGACAGAATGGTAAGCTTCCCGGCCTGTGGAGCAAGAAAGCTGAGTGCCTCCTGGTAGGAGACTTGCTGGTGGCATTGAGTTGCCTCCAGGCACTTATTCCAGAGCTAGGTTTGTCCACCTACAGAGCTGGAGTGGAGTGCCTTTGGGTCAATGCTACTGGTGAAGTGGAGTACCTTTTGGGCATTTATTTGCAGCACACAAAAAGCTTTGTGACAATGCCCACGTAGCACAGAGGCAAGGGGCTGAGAGGCCAAGGACTAGAGAGAGGCAGGCACAACTGAGAAGAGACTGTCCGAATCAGAGAACTATATCGTGAGCATTTCTGATCCTCAACTGTCACCTGTTAACTCCCCTAATAAACCCTGTAATTGTGGCTATGGGCTGTGAATTCTGTAAGGCTACTGCAATGAGTTACTGAACCCAGTAGGGAATTAGAGGGCTTTGTGGGGACAGTTGGTGTCAGAATTGGTAAAGACAGCTGGAGGGTAGAGGCATGTTTGACCTTCACCTCAGAGAAACTGAGGCTACTATTCTGCTGACTCTCCTTTCCCCTTGTAAAGGACAGACATGGCCCCACATCATTTTTGCAGCATAAGACCCCGTCAAGGGAATTATTATTGGATTTAATGATGTAAAAGATGTAAAGACTCTGTTTATGAGATTTTCTCCTATTTGTAGCTCATCTGAACTCCAACTGTTTCTAATAAAGAGTTTTATGATCTAATTTAGAATTTTAAACTTACAAGGACTTCCAATCTGTAAAGAAAAACACTAATACATTAAGTTTTTGTAAAGCAAAAGCAAATAAATGTGTACCATATACACATTTTTAAAGATGGTGGAATAGGAAAAATATACATAATATGCATATAATACAAGGGGCTTCAAAAAGTTTGTGGAAAAATGAAATTGAAAGGTAATGCAAATTTTACGTGAACTTTTTGAAGCAATCTCTCATACATGGCTAACTGCTCAATATGCACAGATTTACAAACAAGCAGGAAAAACATGTATAATGCAATTTTTTAAAATAGGCAAATACAGGATTAGAAATGTGAACAAATGTGAAGCACTGGTCAAACTTCCTTATGATTAAATTAAAGAAAATGTAATGTTAAATTTAACATTAAAATAACATTATGTCATTTTGAGGCCAGTTTGGCAAGATTTAAAATAATAGGGATACCTTCACCCTGTTGGTAAAAGTGTAAATTGGTACCAGTCTGTTGAAGGCAATTTGTAATTCCTTATAAAAATTATTTATCCAACTATGAGTCACATTTACACTTTGGCCCACTAAAATTAGCTAATTATATATTCATACAATTACAATTACAAAATGAGCATAAAAATTCTCAAGGTGGCATGATTTGTAGAGCAAAAGTTAAAGCAATTTAATTCTGGATACACTAAAAATTTGAATTTATACTTCAAAATGGTTTAAATGATGACTTTCATGTTATGTAAATTTTATATCAGCTAAAAAATTTTAAATAAATCATGTATCTTGTTGTTAATGCACTGTGGAGTCGGTTCCGACTCATAGCGACCCTGTACAGGGTTTGCGAAGCTGTAAATCTTTACAGGATCAGAAAGCCTCATCTTTCTCCTGCAGAACTGCTGACCGTGAGATTAGCAGCCCAATTCGTAACCACTACGATAAGAAACCTAAATTTCTATCAGTATTTTGTTGTTGTTGTTAAGAGCTGTCAAGTAGATTCCAACCCATAGCAACCCTGTATAGAGTTTCCAAGGAGCAGCTGGTGAGCTTGAGTTGACAACCTTATAGTTCAAACAACTTTGTAGTCTGATGCATTACCCACAGAGCCACACTAGGAGTCAGTCCAACAAATTATGATTATTCCATATCAATTATCCTAATTCAGTTTATCATCTTCTATTCTGTCTCTTAAAATAACCATAAAAGTTGTTTTGATACAATGCGAGAGTTTTGTAATACTACCAAATTACCTTTTCTGAAGCACCAATATAACGATCACATCTTGAGTCAGTTTGTGTACATGGTGTATGATACAGATCCTGTCTCACTTTCTGAAAATGAGTATTCAGTTTTGCCAGCACCATTTGTTAAAGAGACTATCTTTTCCCAATTTAATGGGTTCCAGTTGTTTGTCAAATAGGTGGAAACCCATAGATGGATGGATTTATTTCTGGGTTATCAATTCTGTTTCAGTGATTTATGTATCTATCATTGTATCAGTACCAGGCTGTTTTGACTACCCAGGTTGTGTAGTCAGTTTTGAGATTGGAAAGTGTGAGGTCTCCTACTTTGTTTGTCTAATTAGAGGGTTATTGTTGTTAAGTGCCATTTAGTCAGTTCTGACTCATAGTAGACAGATATAGATGACAATACACAATTAGGAGGGGAGGTCAGTACAAAATGATCACGGCAATGGAAGTTACTAGAGGGAGAACAAAAGTTCAAGGCAACAAAAGTAAATACTATTCGGAGGTCCCTAGGACCATCAAGGGAGAAGAGCAGAGAGCGGGACCCTACCCAGAGAAGCAGAATAGTCAGAACCTATTCAATGGTACGTAGTAATAATATAGTTAAGCATATAAGGGGCAAACTTATTAAAACTTCTCAGACATAACCAAATACCTTGAAGGAATGAGTTTCTGGACCTGGGAGCTCAGGACAATAATTTTATGGGACATCAAGGCCAATTGGTATAACATAGTCCACAAAGGCAATATTCAACATCCTACTTTGGTGAGTAGTGACTAGTGTCTTAAAAGCTTCTGTGTAGTCATTTAAGGACTACTGGGATTCTTCACTGCTCCCCCTTCCCCACCACCCAGTCTTCATCCAGAGGAAGAGTAAAAAAACCAAAGATGCATGGGAACAACTAGTACAAAGGATAATGGGCCACTCAAACCTTAACTTCCATGGCCCTGAGACCAGAAGAACTAAATGGTGCCCAGCTACCACGACCAACTGCTCTGAAGGGGTTCATGTTAAAAGGTCCTGAATAGAGTGGGGAAAAAATGTGGAGCAAAACTCAAAACCCTTAGAAAGAGCATGCTTACTAGTCTAATAGAGACTATTGGAACCCCCAAAGACTATGGCCTTCAGTCACTCTTCAGAACTGGAACTGAACTCACTCCAGTGACTCAACTTTCAGTCAAACAATGGATAGATCTTTACGGTGAGCAATACAACAGTGAGGTGTACACTCCTTAGAACACCCAACATTCGAGGTCAAAGGGCAGAACGAAATTCAGAAGACAAGAAGAGATTGCAAAGGAGGACAATGGAAACTGGAAACGCAAAGAGTGTGATTGTCGTTGTTAAGTAACATCAAGTCAGTTTTGACCCTGTATAGGGTTTCCAAGGAGTTTCTGGTGAGCTTGAATCACCGACCTTACAGTTCAACCGGCTTTGCAGTCTGGCGCATTAACCCACAGCGCCACACCAGGACTCCACTGTTACATTGTGGGGATTGCACTCAATGGCACTGCTAAATATAAAAGCGATTTGCTCTGTAAACTTTTGCCCAAATCACTAAAGGTTAAAAAAAAATTCTAATAGTAAGATGAATTACTGAATGTCCTTACAAGTGAATGACTGAAAGTCAAACCTATGATATGAATCCTGAAACCCAACCACATCAGAATTTCAATAGATTATATATATATATATATTTTTTTTTTTTAAGTAAAGTGAATGTTTCTTACTTTGAGCTGTAGTCGTACCCTGGTCAAAAAGAATTTCCAGCAATTTTCTCTGGAGTCCACCATGCCCAAACCACGAACTTCAGGACAAATTCCAGAAATTATCTTATCCATATCTTCATCACTGAACAGATCTGGGATTTCTCCTGCCAACCAAAAATGAAGGAAATTGCTAAAAGGCCTCCATGATTTACATTTGAGATGGGGCTTTTTAAAGCTTGAAATGATTTATAATACAAAGCTCAGCTTACATGATAAAAGAAACATCTGAGGTATGGAATGCCATGTTTCTTGTAGCATTTACAAGACACACAACACATTGAGGACAAGCAAGGATGAACATATGTACTAAACCTACATATGTAGGAATAACATTTACTTCACCAAATCCCTCAACAAGGCACTTCACATCTCCAAGTACATGAAGATAACACCTCAAATTAGTTAGGTTTATAGGTTTCTCCCCAAAGACTGCCCCAGCAAACATCTCAAAGACAAATTATCTCCTCTTTAAAGTTCACTGAAACTACAGATAATTTGTCATTGGGGAAGATCTTTCAAGGAATGTGTTGGTTTAATCACCTGATGCCAGCAAGTCATTAATCAGCACCAGAAAGCTCTCATCTAGAACCTGGGCATCTGTCAGCAGGAACACAGTGGGCATGTTCTTGGCTCCTGTTCTGATGTACAAATTGGCAAGATCATCCTGTAAGGGAGAAGAGGCAATCACTCATGTTTTGTTGAAATGCTGACGCAAAGCTGGAAGCACGTATGTGGGTATAAAGAAGAATTAAAGTAAGTATAATGTGATAGCATCATACAGGGGCTTCCCTCTGTTTATATATTTTTTTCTTTTCAGGGACCCCCATTATAGGGGAAAATAGCATGATGTCACCTCCACTTTTGGCATATAGCAATGTACATCATGTTTGAAACTTAATGGAACACAGGGATGAAACAAGTTGCTGTTTAATGCACCTCCTTTCTAACAGAGTGGAAATAAATGAGTTCTGATGACTTTCTCCACCAACGCAGTAAAAGGAAGTCTTATGTGTGTTTCAGTAACTGTCTGTTTCATTGGAAATTATTGTTCCTTAGGTTTTGCTTAATAATATTACAAGGATGTGGTTTGTGTTTTCTGGTATGAAATAGCACTTGTCACAACTATATACACCATTGTGTAGGTAGTATTGTGTTACAAAGCCAAGTTTTAAAAATACAAGAGTTTCTTGAGTGTGCTATTCCCATTTATTTTTCATATTTTTCCCAAAGCAAAAGAAATATACTTGCACTTATAAAGGATGTTTCCTTATTTTCCCTTTCCATTACATGTTATTGCTGTTAGGTGTCACTGAGTCAGTTCTAACTCCTAGGGACTTTATATACACAGTCCTGCTCAATCCTCACAATTGCTGCACACTGAGTCCATAGCTGCTGCCACTGTGTTTTGCTTCTCAGGAGAATCCAGCCTCAGACACCATTACTTACTCGAAGGTTCTGAATTCCATATCCTTCAGTCAGAGAGATCTGAAACACCTCCAGGTTACAAATGTAAGCTGCCAGACGAGACAGGCTCTGCTTACCACTGCCTCCCACTCCAACCAAGAGTGCATAGCCCTGAGGGGTTCTTAGGATTCGACCGATGCGGCACCTGGTGAGAGAAAGGGCATTCACCACAGCATGAAATACAAACTGCTCTGGAACTATGCTTCTTGTGTGTTAATGTTTAGATAAATATTTAGACTAAATTCTAATATTTCTTCCAAACTGTTAGCAACTGCTTATGTGTTTCCCCATCAAGCAAAGAAGTTGCCTGCATTTCTGACCTCCAACTACTTGCCTAACAAGCTTCCCATGTTGATAATCTTTTGGAGACTTGTTGCTTTATTAATCTTTACCAAAATTCAAGAAAGAAAAGTTTGGCTATTCCTCAAAAAGTTACATGCAGATTACCATATGACCCAGCAATCCACTCGTAGGTGTACATCTGAGAGACTTAAAAGCAGGGGGTCAGATGTAGCACTGTTCACTGCAGCACTGTTTACAATGGCCAAAAAATGGAAACAACCCAATGAACAGATCAATGAATTTTTAAATGTGCTATTATCCATACAAAAGAAAATCCATCCACCAGGAAAAGATGTAAAGTTCCAATCCAATGTGTTTCAACATGAATAAACCCTGAAAACATTATGCTATGTAAGTCAGAAATAAATCAGGCAAGAAAGAGAAGTATTTATGATCTCACTAATATGAAATATTTAGAACAGACAAATGTATAAAGACAGAAAGTGGATTAGCAGTTAATATGGGTAGTAGTAGGGGAAAAGGGCATCAATGCTTCATTGGTACAGGGGTTCTGTTTGGGGTAATGAATGAGTTTTGGCAACAAACAGTGATGATGGCTGCCCAGTGTTATGAGTGTGAACATGGTTTTAAAATGAAAAAAATTTTGTGACATATTTTTTACCACAATTTCAAACATTTCAAGAAAGAAAATATATACAAGGTCTTTCATCTAATCTTGAAAATATTTTGTTTAGGAAGAAGGATGCAAATGCCACACCAACCTCCAAGTACAGAATACTTTGCTTTAGCATTACTCTGGAAAGAATGACTTCGTTTAGACCAAGGAAGATTCTCACATGTGATTCACTTCATGCAGATAGAACATTTGCCTCTCTATATGATCTTCAATCTTTCACACTAAATAAAACCTTCCCTATTCTTGGGCACCATAGGCTAAGTACTGGACTGCTAGCTGGAAGGTTGGTAGTTCAAATCCACCAGCCGCTCTTGGAAACCCTATGGAGGATTGTTATGAATTGGGATTGGCTTGATGGCACTTAACAACAACAACAACAATGCTTAGAGTAGAAACTCAGTGACTCCACAGGATAAGCACAGGACTGCAAGCCACAAGGCTGGCAGTTCAAGCTTACTAACAGCTCCACAGGAGAAAGATGAGAGACTTCCTACTCCCACAAAGATTTTAAAAGCCTCAGAAACTCTAGAGAGGGTCACTATGAGTTGAAACCAACTTGAAGGCACTTATAGCAGCAACAATAACAATTTTAGAACACTTTCAAATAGTTTCCTGAAACCATTCAAGCCTCACAAAGGGAAATTTCCAGCGAGACAACTTGTTCCCTTCTAGATTTTCAGGAGAATCCTGAATGCTTAAAAGCTATTGCTACCACTGCTACCTTTTGCGAGCTACCTTTTGCGATGTGACTTGTTACTTATGTATCCATATACACATCTTATGGATGACATGGTTTTAACATTATCAAAATGTAGTCTCCATTAAAAGAAATAAGTCATAATTTTACTATAAATACTAGTAGCGCCAACAAGATGATAGATATATAAATAGTAATAACCAAATGCAAATAACTGGATGCTCCCTTATCAGCGATAGTTTGCTTTTCTGAAATGAATTTAAGCTTTAAGCCCTGAATGATCCACATGTGTTTTATTTTAATAGTACTTTAACAAAATGAAGTTGGAGTCACTTATCCTAGGGGAAAACATGTGTGAGCATTACCTGAAAACATACAGTAAGTGGACAGACAGGTTATTTATGTAAGTACAGTCATTTTTTTACACTTTACATGACCACACAACAAAAACAACCTTAAAAAAGACCAAAAACTACTCTGACTTGAGTGCAGCCTTGAGCACATGATGAGGTTTTCATTTTATGTAAAACTATCTCGTGAAATCCTTGCTCCATGAGATTCTCTGTGTGGCATGATCTCTTTCTACAACATGCAAGGACACATTCTTAACTTACCACTAGCACCTAACACTGAGTAAACCAGCAACTAGCTCATCATCCTTGATCAAACTAATTGCCTTCCCTTTTAGGTATGGAGAATTCCACAGTGAAGGATTACATGAGACGATCTCTTCCCTCAGTTCAATAGGAAGGTAGTTTCACTTGAGCCATGATGCATAGTGTATACAGCCATATGTAATTCAATAATACTTAATACACAGTCAATATATTTAATTTAAACAAAAACAGTATTAATAATTATCCATTTAACGTCATGGCTCACTAAAATGTCCTTTGTCTTCATACCTGAAAGATTACAACTATACAAGAATGAAAAAACAAAACAAAACAATACTTAGCATGCTTATAACAACTGATGATGGGGTTGGATCCAAATTTTTCTTATATACTTGGACTAAGTATTTAGAAAAGTCACTCTTCTAAAAGTGAAAATGTCCATTTATGCCCCCCTTTTTGAATATCCTTCCTTGTATTCATTCTGTCTTCTTCCTCTAGTTTTTTTTATTTTTAATGATGGTTCCCTTTTTAACAAATCTTTGTCTGAACGCCACTTACTAGAAAGGCCAGGGAGCTATGATGATGTCCTGTGTTAGGAGAGCATTACTGGCCATAAATCTGCCACTCACACACAGTTATTAATGGGGAGCTATATCGACGACACAACAAATTTCATCATTCCTATGCAAAAACCCACCCAATACCTTCTCAATGTACTTAGGAGAACACCCAGACTCCTTAACCTGGTTGCAAAAAAATACCCCAGAGAAGTAAGTCTAGTTCGTCCTCTCCAACCTCACCATACTTTCCTCTCCTATGCCCCAGTCACCTGCACCCTCTTTCTGTTTCTTGAACCTTCTAAGCTTATTCTCGTCTCACAGTCATATAAATATGCCCTCTGTTCAGAGTGCTGTTCCTTTGCATTCTTGTTCCTGTTTACTATGCACATCTCACCTTGAATGCCACCTCCACACAGAGAGACACACACCTACTCTCTGGGAACCTTCACCTCATTGATTAGAATCAGCCTATTTATTTTCCAATACAGCACATCACTCTCTGAGATTGTTCTTGCTTATTTGTTATTTTCCTTAAAAGTGCCCATGTTGTTGTTATTTTAAAGAACCCTGAAATCGGTTCCAATTCATAATGACCCTGTATAGGGTTTCTGACTCTGTCAATCTTTATGGGAGCAGAAAGCCTATCTTTCTCCCACAGAGTGGCTGGTGGGTTCAAATCACCAACCTTGTGATTTGTAGTCAAGTGCTTATCCTACACAGCCACCTTGATCCCTAAAATGCCAGTATATATACCACAGAAATGTAATTCCAGTTAGAGAAGGAACTGGTCTGTTTTGTTCACTGCTGTGTTCCCAGCACCTAGAACATTTCTGACAGTAAGGTATTGTGGATGGGTGTATAGACTATGCAATGCACTAAGGTACTCAGTCTAGGAGGTGAGGAAGAGACTTGTCAGCCAAGTTCCAAACCAGGACCAGGGACATTTTCCAAGCTGTCTACCAAAAAAAAGGCGCCCTGTTTTTGTAAGATGCACAAAGGAGCTGTAGACTGCCAATGTTCTTGCCTGATACGCAGTAAGCACTCAACAAAACTTGCTTTGTCAACAGAAGTAGGGTTATGTTTTGGTTCTGTCACTTACAAACTTTGAACTTAAAACTTTGAGTAAATCCTCTCCTTTCTTAATATTCTTACCAAGCGGAACTGTCATGAAATTAAATTATGGATACAAGGGTACTTTGGAAAGTAGTGTCAAACATTAAGACTGTAACATCATGAATAAAGATATGTTTATACCAGCTGTTCCGCGAGAGAGAGATGAAGCGTTCTGCTCCCATAAAGATTTAGTCTTGGAAACCCTGTACAGGGTCGCTATTAGTCGGAACCAACTCCATGGCACACAGCCACCACCATACTTTTATAGGTCAAGATGGACAATTGTCAAGACCTGATAGGTAAGATGTTGTTGTTGTTAATTGCTGTCGAGTCGGCTCTGACCCATAGGTACCCTGTATAGGGTTTCCGAGGAGCAGCTGGTGTGCTTGAATCGCCAACTTTGCAGTTCAAATGGCTTTGCAGTCTAGCGCATTAATCCACAGTGCCACACCAGTTACCTTAGTATAATCTATTAGAAATAACAACAATAATAAACAGTAATTGTGGGTACCCAAAAAAATGACACTCTGTGTGGAGCTGGATGATAAGTACAAGACTCCAAGGTTGGTTTGAACCACAAGGCTGGTTGTGTAAACTCAATAACCACTCCTTGGAAACCCTATACTGGGTTGCTATGAGTAGGAACCGACTCAACAGTACTGAACAACAACAATAACATATGTGTATAGTCATTTTTACTTTAGTGAAAAAAGCTGCATGAATAGTCAACTTACACATGTTGCATGGCATCTTCAAATAAAACTAGGTGCATAGCAGCATGCAGTTCATTGTAATTGTCTAATGTTTCTGTAAGAATTGTCTTCAGCTCCTCCCAATCCTTCACCGGCATGTAACATGGATCTCCTCCCCCATTTGCAAAGTGGCAATAAATGAGGGGCTGTTGAAGCAACATGCGATTATCCACACCCTGCAGAATGAAGAAGGGAGAAATACAGTTTTTATGTCAAGCATCCAAAATGATGCATCAGTGACCTTTCAAGGGAAAAGTTTAGAAACCAATGCATGAGTTGTCAGTTTCCGTGGAGTCATTTCTGACCCATGTCAGCCCCATGTGGGCAGAGTTGTTGTTGTTATGTGCTGTGGAGTTGGTTTTGACCCATAGCGACCCTGTACAGGGTTTCCAAGGCTGTGACTCTTTACAGGAGTAGAAAGCCTCATCTTTCTCCCGCGGAACAGCTGGTAGTTTTGAACTCCTGGCCTTGCAGTTCATAGCCCAATCGTAACCACTACGCTACTTATACCTCTAGAATTTTCAAGGCTGTGACCTTCAGGAAATGGATTACCAGGTCCTGTCTTCTAAGGCACCAGTGAGTGGGTTTGAGTCACCAATCTTTCATCTACTAGTTGAGTGCTTAACTGTTTGCTTCACTAAAGGCAACCTCAACCCTTGAATAGGTGGATGGTAAATTCCCAAGTATAGATTAAGTATACTTTGGAATTATAGCTGTTTCAGAAAAATGAACACTCCCGCGGTTCACTCCCACATGTCTCTAGCTTGAGTCAATGTGAGAAGGACAGTGACATCTGACAGTCACCCACTTACTTCAAAATATTTAGACGCATTTTCCAGAATTTTTTTCTGAAACAAATCACAATCCTTTGTGTCTATCAGTTTGTCTCCATAAACACGGGAAGTTTCGTGAAGCCACAAGCGTATTAAATCATTTGAAACCTTTAAGCATTCAGGAGAAGCAAACAAAATCCCCTACAAGGCAGGAAAAAGAAAAGAAAAACATTCATAGTTCCAAAGCTGATGACATGCCCAGCTAAGATTGTACTTCATATATTTAACTATGTCCTGAGGTCTGTAACTGGTTACGTTAAAGGAAATATTAGAAATAGTGTTGTCTATTGTTGTTGAATGCTCTTGAGTTGGTTCTGACTTTTGAGTCTATATAGTTTCTGTGGAGCAGCTGCTACATTTGAACCATCAACCTTGTGGTTAGCAATCTAGTGCTTATCCTACAGTGCCACACCAGGACACATATACCCTATCCAGTTAGGATAACTCTATTGCTGATCCTACAGCACGACACCTTTGATAAGCATTATTTTATAATTTTCATACTACTATGGTGTGGTGCTGTAGGATCAGCATGGGACTGTGAGCCACAAGATCGGCAGTTCAAATCCGCCAGGTGTTCCTCAGAAATCCTATACAGGTTCTCTATGAGTCAAAACAGCACTTAACAACAAGAACATGTCCATTTTTAGGAAGGCAATGAAGACAGTATTTCAAGACCCACCCCAGTAAACCATATACCACATGTAAGTGCTTGTCCGTATTATGTCTTCCAAAGTATTACGTAAATGAAACCAGAGTACAAATGTTGTTGCTGTTGTTGTTAAGTGTCGTCAAGTAGGTTTCAACTCATAGTGACCCTCTGTAGAGTTTCCAAGGAGGGACTGCTCAAGCTAATGTTAAAGTCATGGGCTCATCATTTTTTTTAAATTCTAAAAACCTTTGGTATCATTTCACAGATGAAGAATATGAGACCAAAAATAATTTTTTTTCAATGTCACACAGAACTTGCAGGTAGGTTTGGGACTAGCACCAAAGCACTTTGATGATCATCCGCATTCATCAGTATACTGAGTTCATATAGATCCAGTCAGTGCTGAAAGATTCAGCTTGCTCTGGATTCCTAGGGGAACACCAAGGCAGTTATGGAGAATAAGACGCAAAATGCTAAAAAAAAAAAAAAAATTTGGTGGCTTTAGGTATAGTCAGCAGACTGAACATGAAGGCCTTCCTCCTTCCCTTTTCTTCTTCTATGAGTTACAAACCTGCTTGTTAACACCACTATACATATAGAGCACAGTCTTAATGTAAGGTGCTCTAAGAGCCATGCATAGCCTGTGTTCTTAAGAAGCAGATGTCTAATGCTGTATTACGGTTTTGAGAAATTGTGGGATAATTTACTAAAGAGCATTACAAAATATAAAGGGATAAAAACTACCAAATGTCCATAAATGCTACTGATTTTTCATGTCTAACAAATCACTACCTTTCACAAAAGAACTTAAAGTCTTAAATAACCTTCAAACTACTTTTACTGATCAAAGTAGACCATATTAATTGAATCTTTTTCAAATCCCAGATTTTAAATCCCCTCTGGATTTCCTTGCTAAATCAAATACACAAACAACTTCCTTTCACTAAGAAAGTATATTCATTATGAATGTCAAACTAAAATGATCTAGTAATTTAAAAAATTATAATTTCACTTGACACTTTTAAAAACAATTGTACATAAATATGTTTCACGCAAAGACAAGATCAATCATTCCTTTTATTTGGCACAAGAACTCAAATATTTATGGATTAAATAAAATTAGGTATCCTCACCTTATTCTTGGTTTCTATTGCTAAGTCACTTGGTAGCCCGAGAGTAAGCATTGTTATTCTCGATAAAAGAGGAATCATAAACTTCTCATATTTACCCCATGAAGAAAAGATTAAGTATGCAAAATGAAATAATAAATATAAAATCACTCAGCAGAGTTTTCTACCAAACTCTATAAATGCATATTATTAATCTTACTATGGAGTTCTGGTGTGGTGCTGTAGGATAAGCACTCGACCACTTGAATCACAAGATTCGTGGTTCAAACTCACCAGCTGCTCCTTGGAAATTCTATACACGGTCACTGTGAGTCAAAACTGATTCAACAGCACTTAACAACACCAACAACAATCTTTATATAATCCTTCTAGAGAAGTCATAACATAGAATTGTTGAAGTACCTGGAAGATGTTTGATAGGTCTCTCAGATTAAAGATGTAATGAAATTGAACAGCAGTGGGTAGAAAGCTATGCACCATCATTTGATGGAATGCTATTGTTGCTTGGATCACAGCAGAGCTGCTCCTGAGAATAGATGGACCAAATGCTTGCTGGTGGAAATGGGAACCAAGGATTTGGCTATAGATGGTGTTTAGTGCATCCAAAGATGGAAAATTGAATGCAAATACTGTGAAATGTCTCTGAAACAACAATAAAATATATATGTTAAGGTTGTATAAAACAGGGGTTATAATGGTATCAGTATATTGCAAAAAAAAAAAAAAAAAGACCTGAGTTTTCACCCCTCCCTGAATCCACCCCCACTGCCATGTAACTGTGTAATGCATCCATTCTGACTCTCAGCTTGGCCATGTGGCTTGCTTGACCCAACAGGAGGTAGAAAGGATGGTGAACTCCTCACTGTCAGAAGCTTATATACTTGAACTTGCTCTCTTAGTACCTGCCTTTGATATGAACCCTACAGTTCTAAACAATGAGAGACCCAGGAAGCCAAAACCAGCCTAAATTAGCTTACAGTCAGTCCCAGACATATGAACAGCCCAAGAACACCTGGTTGACTCTCAACTGACCTTACAGAAGTGAAGAAGCAACACTTACTACTGTATGTTGTAGAGGTTATTGCTGTTGTTATGTGTTTAGCCAAATATCCAGGAGAAGCCCTAATTTGGACTCAAAAGAACCATGAGTCAAGATCTACAATTTTGGGGAATTATATTTAGGGACTATTTGGGAGAGAGCAGTACTAGCCCCCTACCTGTAGTCTAGGATTGATGGTGAAACTGCCCACCAGTGGATTCATGCAGGTAACATACTGGCAATTGTGCACTTCTTTAAGCATCACCTTCTGTCTATCATACCTAAAAGACAGGAAATAGAACCTTAGATCCAACCACTGGTGATGAGAACACAACAAAACCCACCAGTTCATATAGGACACCTCAACAATTGTTTCCTTTGATCTTTATGATTGCTTTGTGAGGCTGACCTTGGTTGTATTACCTAAGAGCTGTAAAATTGAAGCTTGGAAAACTGAAGATTAAACAGCTCCTTTGACCCCAAGATTTGGAGCTGAACTGATAGATAATTGTTGTTGATTCTCATGTGAGTCTACATCTGGTTACAAAACTACTCACAGCAAGGCTCTCTAGATAGCAGAGGGAAGGGGGGTATCTCTAGTTAATGGCAGGGGTTACAAATTATGATACTTAGATATTAGCAGGGATTTATACCCACAGAATAAAGTCATGCTTCTCTTGGATAGTTTAGTGTGAATACATAAAACAGACATGATTTCTAGAAACCTTAATGTTCCTAGGATACTTTTCAATCCTTATAAAGTTACAAAGGAAAACTCTTCCATTTAACTATGATGAAAGGGATGCCAAAGTAAATCCAAAAGGTTTCTATAAAATGCTCCCCAGAAGAGTAAGATTGGGGATAATTCTGTTTTATAATGTTTATCCAGAATAATAACTAGATTTTGACAAGGAAATAGGCACAGAGATCTGCTTACCAGTGTCCATAGTCAATATGCTGTCGAATCAGCGTGTGAGGCTGGATAGTACCATAGAAGTCCACTTCAGGCAGGTTCAGATCGTCAATAAAATAAACCAATTTTTTATTTCCTACTGGACCATAGTTACGACCAGCCTTTTTCTCTAGTGGTTTCTCAAGAATCTCTGAAACAAATGTATACCTATGTCTACTAGTCATCACTGGTACAAGGTAAATCATCTGTCCTTAGCCCGCTTATATTTTCCCATCGTCTCTCCATTTCATTCACTCTGTGGTTTTAGGTATCTCCTTGTGCAGGTTAAGACCTAAGCTCTGTCTCTGACCTCTGACCTTCTCTATGGCACACTTTTCTTCCCACTTCCCTTCAGCTGCCAGAGACATCAATAAGAACACGCTGGCCATGCCATCCAATGCAACTCTCTCACTGCTCCGTGTACTTCACTTTCTATGCCCACTCCAATACATGGCCTATGCCCAGTCATTCTTCTCTACCAGGTTTGCACGGCAGTCTAGGAACTGCTTAAGAGTCTTCCAGCCCTCCCTCTCTTCTTGGGTGAGGAGTGCAGAAGCATGAGAGGGGTGTTTGTGGACACAAACTTGTATATACATAAAATAGATTTCTTAGTGTGTCTGTATGATTTTTGTCAGCATGTATGAGATGCACCGTCTAATGACAGTGTTGCTCCACACAGACAACAAATGCCTTGAGGGCAAAGAACGATGTCATTGTTTCTTTGATGATCAGCACAAGTAAGCGATTTGATAAATGAACAATGAATTAATGATCTACCAAGCATACAATGCATCAATAGTACAGAGCTCTTTAAAGTGGCAGACTCACATTTTCATATGCTCAGGGGATATCACTATTGTTGCTGTTAAGTGCTGATAAGTCAGTTCTGCAAGCCATCTTTGGAGTTAGCAGTCCAGTGCTACTTGGAAGAGCAGATAAAACTGCTCCAGGGGGTTTTATAGTCTGGGTGTGGGTGTGGTGTTGTGGGATAATGCACTGGACTGGAAGGTAGGTTTGAACCACAGCCACTCCTCGGAAACCCTATGCAAGGAGTTGCACTAACTACAAATGGCACTGAACAACCATCTTTCCAGGAGCTGACTGCCAGGTCTTCCTCCTACAAAGCTGCTAGATGGGTTCTGCTGCACCACTAGGATGCATTCGTTCTTCATACTAATAGTAAGTCACTGAATTGTATACAAGCCTGTATCCCTTTCAGGAATTAGCACATTATGCTCATGCCAAAGTCATATCATTTGTTCACCTACTGAACAGTAGCCCTAACTTTTCATTTAAAAAGTAATAAAGAGATCCTTTTCCTTGTGTCTGTGAATGAAAACATACCCCACACAGTGCCTTGGGGTAGGGGGAGGGGTTGTAATATGTATTTGCTGAAGGAAAGAATCAGCTAAATCAGCTTTCTAACTGTTCCATTCACAAAGACAAGATGCAATAACTTGTTTAATAACGATTACAGTGAAACCAGTTGGCTGAATTAATGATGTCAAATGACTAAGAAAATGTTTTATTAGTCTGGTATAGTTAAGAAAACAACAACACAGATATAGACAAGCACACACATACATAAGCAAATTTAGAAATGACATTTAGGGCAACTCAGCTGATTTAATAAACTGCTGGATAGTAGGAGTTTTTCTGACTCTAGAACTGTGATTCAGCTGCACAGATTAACAGGCCTGCCAATAACAGGTCTTGATACTATTTACCTACGAGTCTATACTTCACAGTTTGTCCATATTAGTGCACTATTGTTCTACTTCCCATGTCTAATGTCCTTGTTTTTCCTAACTCTAGAAATATTCCAAACTTGTATAGTTCTACTGACGCTTTGTCAACTGTTTAAAATGATTCTTATAATTCTTGTAAGAGTTAACTGATGGCTCTTGGCCTGACATTTCACCAGTATAGGAGTATGAATAATTTTTTTCCTAAATCAATTCCTTTACACTTGTGTACTTTAAAAAGTAACCAAGATGTCCTTCCTTGAATACACCCTTATATTGCTGAAAAACAAAAAAAAACTACAAATCAAACCAGTTGCCACTAAGCCAATTCTGACTCATGGTGATCCCATGTGTGTTACAGACAAAACTCCACCGAGTTTTCAGTAGCCAACTTTTTAGCAGATTGCAGGCCTTCCTTCCAAACAGCTTCTGGCTAGATTTGAATTATCAACTGTTTGGTGAGTTGTTGTTGTTGTTATGAAGTTCCATCACGTAAGTTCCAACCCAGAGCGACCCTGTATAAGGTTTTCGAGGAGCAGCTGGTGAACTTGAACCACCGACCTTGAAGTTCAAAAGACTTTGCAGTCTGGAGCATTAGCCCACAGCACCACAAGCTGCTTATCATTTACGCCACCTAGGAACTCCTCTTCTATTGCTAAGAATCCATTTAATTAAAGTTTACAGGCAAAGCAAGTGACATTGTGGATGTAAATTCTTGCTGTTCAAAAGTGTAAGAAACCAAATAAAGTTGAGTGATATAAAAAAGTCAAACTCACAACAATATTTAAACACATTATGTTTACCCAAGATGGTGGTAAGTAAAGATTCAGCTGAAGCTTACAAAAAAATGTCTAAAGCCTAAGGAAAAGCAGTGGATTTGGAGTGCATGTACGAGCCTGGTCAGTTTCCGGTCTCTTGTTCCTAGGATGTCGGCAGCAGAAACACTTACTTTGCAGAGCTGCGGATGTTGTGTAGTAGTTGAAAGGCACCCGGGACACCACATAATCCTCAGAGAGACTTGCAAGGGTGTCACCTACAAAGACTGTTTTCCCCACTCCAGCATTTCCAACTAGCATTAGTGGTTTTCCTTTTTCAAGCAACAAATCTATAAAATATTTAAGACAAGTTGTCTCTGACGTGTGAACAAAAACTGTCTGGGGATAAAAAAAAAAAAAAAAAAAAAAGCAAAAGAGAAAGGTCAGAAAGAGAGGCGATCCAGAATTTTATATCTAAACCAACATATCTATTTTTGAATTAAGACCCAAATAATTTTTAGTGCTAATTAACAGCCAATAGGTGAGATGCCATCTAATTTTTAGTTTTGAACTGTCAGAGTTCAGAAATCGTAGTTTAAGAAGAGCAATTAGGTAATGCCACCAAACTGTCTCAGTATAAGCAACTGATGTTTTATTTTCCAAATGAAGCACTAATGTCCAAGATTCTCTATCACAGAATACCTACTTTTTTTCTGTCTAACTGTGTATTGGGCATGGAAGAAAAGACACTGAATGCAGAAGAAATCATCCACCATGCTTCCTGAGCTGATTAATGTTTGAAAAGGCAAGCCAGCCACATACCAAGGAAAATGGACAATTCCTTGCATTGGTAAAATAAAGTGGCAAAATAACTAAGCAAAAGAGTTCAAAAGAGTTCAGAATGGGAAAAGAGCAATTTTTGAAACAGTGGCTTTAAGTGGAATATTCACAAATCTAGAGTCCAGGTGTGGCACTGTAGGATAAACACTGGACTGCTAATCAATTGTAAGGTTGGAGGTTCAAACCCACCAGCTGCTCCTTGGAAACTATACTGGGTCACTAAGAATCAAAACAGACGTGACAGCACTTAACAACAATTTGCAAATTTAAATCACATATAAAACTAAAACATTTTCCTGTTAAGTATTTTTATTTTAATTTAATTTCTGTTTTCCACCTCTAAACTGTCAGTCTGTCATACTGTGGTGGCTTGCATGTTGCTGTGATGGTATTTTAACCACCACCAGGATCACCCATGACGGTCAGGTTTCAGCTGAGCTTCCAGAATAAGATACAGTAGGAAGAGGAAGAAGCGGACTACTTCTGAATATTTAGCCACTGAAACCTTATGAATAGCAGCTGGCATATATAGTGTTGGAAGCTGGAACCAGGATGGCGAGATTTTGCTCTCATATTTAGAACATGCTGTTAGAAGGGACCAGTCCTTGGAGAAGGACATCATACTTGGTAAAGTGAAGAGTCAGAGGAAAGAGGAAGACCCCAGGAGATGTTGGATACAGTGGCAGCAGCCATCAGCTCAAGCATAGTAACAATTGCGAGGATGGCACAGGACTAGGCAGTGTTTCCTTCTGTTCATAGGGTTGCTGTGAGTCAGAACTGTCTCAACAGCAACTAACAACAAATTTTTGTTTTGAAAATTATTTACTTATTTATATAATGCAATGTTTCACAAATAAACTGAGGTGACTTCCAGGAATATAATTAAATGATGACCATAAATATGTAAACAAAAATTAGATTACAGGAATACAGACTAAAATATGTGATTAGAATTTAGGATGCTAGATGCAGATAAACAGGTCATAGAATCCAGCACAGAAATTGAAATGTGCTTGCATTTTCTGAGGCTAAATTACAAAGGGAAAACCCATTACTTCTAGGATTCATGCTGTTCATAAGAAAACCACATAAATTCTATAATGGATAGAGTAATTCTCTTCTCAGCATAGACCAAACACAATTAAGTAGTTTATAGATTACTCAGGATTATCTTCTTGATCAGGAATACCTATTGAACTTTGGCGGTGGTGGTGGTTATGTTCTGTGGAGTCGGTTCTGACTCATAGTGACCCTGAATGGGATTTCCGATGCTATAAATCTTCACAGTAGCCAAAAGCCTCATCTTTCTCCAGTGGAACTGCTGGCAGTTTTGAACTTCTGACCATGAGGTTAACAGCCCGGTTTGCAATCACTATGCTATATTGACCTTTACACAAAAATAAATGTCTTTAACACAGGTGTAATCTCCTCTATAACTACCTGGCCCCAATTTAAGAACTAATATTCAGTACTTGGGGAGCACTGTGTCTCTGTAGGATAAGCACTGGACTGCAAAGCACAAGGTCAGCAATTGGAGCCCACCAGCTGCTCTGCAGAAGAAAGATGAGACATTCTGTTCCCATAAAGACTTCAGCCTCAGAAACCCAGGGTGGCTATGAGTTGGAAACAACTCGACAGCTCTTAGCAACAACTATATAATTCAGTGATTTGGTTTTTTAAAAAAATTGTGGTAAGGGAGTTTCAAAAAGTTCATGGAAAAATGGAATTGGATTATAATAGAATTTTCCCACATGCTTTTTGTAGCCCCTATAAGGATCCCTGGTAGTGTATTGGATTACAAGCAGGGCTGCTAACCACAAGGTCAGCAGTTTGAAGATGAGGCTTTCTGCTCGCAAAGATTTATAACCTCAGAAACCCTACAGAGGATCGCTACAAGTTGGAACCGACTCAGTAGGACACAGCCACCACCACCATATATATACACTTATGTGTATTGTGTAAATGTTACACTGTGCCCATTTCAACACTTTTTACATGTACAATTCAGTGATATTATGATCATCATGTGGTTCACCCATTATCACCACTCATTTTTCACTTTTTCCATCACCATTAATAGAAGCTCAGTATCCCCTGAATTAGGACTCCTTCTTTTCCCCTAGCAACCACTAATAAACTTTGGTGTCTATACATGTGCCTGTTCTAGATATTTTATATAAATGGGATGACATAGCATTTGTTCTTTTGTAACTGACTTATTTCACTCAGCACAATGTTGTCAAGGTTTACCCATTGTAGACTGTGTATCAGGACAGATTTCATTTCTCCATGGCTAAGTAATAAACATCGTATATATGTGATTACAAATTGGGCTGCAAACTGCAAGGTCAGCAGTTCGAAACTACCAGCTGTTCCGCGGGAGAAAGATGAGACTTTCTGCTCCCGTAAAGATTTACAGCCTCAGAAACCCTGTACAGGGTCTCTATGAGTCGGAACCGACTCCACGGCACATAGCAACAACAACAAATATGGATAGATACTTGGATTATCCATTAATTTGTTGCTAGACATTTGGGTTGTTTCAATCTTTTGTCTATTGTGAATATGTTGCAGTTAACACTGGTGTACAAATATCTCTTTGCATTCTTACTTTCAATTCTTTTGGATATATATCTATCTAGAATTGCTAGATCCGATGGTAATTCTACGTTCAAACTTTTGAGGAATGTCCAAACTGCTTTCTACAATGGCTGCACCATTTAAAATTCCCACCAGCAATGTTTGAGGATTCTAATTTCTTCACGTCTTCTACAATACCTGTTGCTTTCAGCTTAACAACAACAAAAAAGAACAATCCAATTTAGTAATGAGTAAAGGGTTTGGTATGGCACTGAGGGTTAATGAGCTGGACTGAAAGGTTGGTATGAATTGCAATTGCTTCTCAGAAACCCTATACAGACTTGCTGTGAGTCACAACTGACTTAATGGCACTTACCAACAACAAGAACTTGAATAGACATTTCGCCACAGAAGAAATGCAAACACATGAAAAGATTCTCAATGTCATCAGACATTGTTGTTAAGTGCCATCAAGTTGGTTCTGATCCATGGAGACCCTGTATAGGGTTTCCGAGGAGCGGCTGATGGACTTGAACTGCCGACCTTACGGTTCAAATGGACCTTGCAGTCCAGTGCATTAACCCATAGCACCACACGAGGACTCCATTATTAAACATTAGGGAAATGCAAATCAAAACCATGATGAGATATCACTTTGCCCTCCATTAAAATGACAATGATTAAAAATACAACTTAGTTTCATTCAGTGATATTCTTAAAGCCTATTGAAAGGCATGTACTGTCCTGTACTCCATTAACATAGTCGCAGACTACTTTGTAAAAAAGTATTTGAGCAGTATTTTACAATCATATTTTCCTTCCTCTCTTGATGTTAGTTGCCATGACTTACTGTTGGCTATTGGCTCTTCTCTAAGCACATGAATACCAACAGTAACACTTACTGAGAGCCGACCATGTGACAGGTACTCTGCTAAGAACTTCATGGTATGTGACATACAATACAACTAACCTATAAAGAGTGTTTTATTGTATTTGCATGGCAGAGATGAAGAAATGAAAGCTTAGGGAGCATTAATAACTTGCCCAAGGTCACATAGCTAGCTAGGAGGCGCTGATGCTTGAATTAAAAACCAGAATGTCCACAGCCTAAACTCTGCCTTGACACCTCCACACAGCAGAATGCCATTCAGGCTGCCTGGGTTTGAATCCTAGCTCTGCTGTTTTTATGCTGACCAACTCAACCTGTTCAACCTGGAGTTTCCCAGTTTTAAAACTGAAAGTTTATCATCTAGGAAATTCCCTTAGCCCCAGGTAGTCAGCTCAGTTGGTCATCCAATACTTAGTGTTGGTGTGAGCTGTTGGCCCTCTGTGACTCACTTTCTCCATTTTTTTTTTAAAAAAGTGGCAGCTAATAACAGTTGTTATGATTAGGCAACATCAAGTCAGTACCAACTCACAGCGACCCTGTGCACAACCGAAGGAAACACTGCCCGATACTGGGCCAACCTCACAACTGTTGCCACACTGGAGCCCATTGATGCTGCCACTTTGCAAATCCATCTCACTGGAAGTCTTCCTCTATTTCTTTGACCCTTACCAAACACCTAATCCTTCTCTAGCTACTGGTCCCTCCTGATAATATGTCCGAAGCATGAGAGGTGAAGTTTGGCCATCCTGGCCTCCAAGGAGCACTCTGGCTGCACTTCTTCCAACACAGATCTGTTGATTCTTTTGGCAGCCCATTGTACTTTCAACATTTTTCTCTAACACCACAACTCAAAAGTATCAGTTCTTATACAATCTTCCTTATTCACTGTCCAGCTTTTGCATGCATATGAGGTTATTGAAAATACCATGGCTTGGGCCAGACACACCTTAGTCCTCAAGCTGACAACTTTGCTCTTCAACAGTTTAAAAAGGTCTTGTGCAGCTGATTTGCCTAATGTAATAGGTAGCCTGATTTCTTGACTGCTGCTTCCATGAGTGCTGATGGTTCATCCAAGAAGAATGAAGTCCTTGACAACTCCAATCTTTTTTCCATCGACCAGAATGTTGTTTATTGGTCCAGTGGTGAGGATTTTTGTTTTCTTGACATTGAGATGTAAGCCATACCGAAGTCTGTGCTCTTTGATCTTCATCGTAAGTATTTTAAGTCCTATTCATTTTCAGCAAGCAAGGTTGTATCATCTGTCTATCACAGGTTGTTAATGAGTCCAATCCTGATATCACTTTTCCTTCATATAACCCAGCTTCTCAGATTATTTGCTCAGCATACAAGTTGAATTAGTATGGTGAAAGAACACAACCCTGTGGCACACCTTTCTTAATTTTAAACCATTCTGTTCGAACAACTGCCTCTTGGTCCAGGTACAGATTCCTCATGAGCACAATTAAGTGTTCCAGAATACTCATACTTCACAATGTTATCCCTAGCTTGTCATGATCTACAGAATCAAAGGCTTTTGCATAGTCAATAAAGCACAGGTAAACATCTTTCTGGTATTCTCTGCTTTCAGCCAAGATCCATTGGACATCAGCATTGATAGCCCGTATTCCACGTCCTCTTCTGAATCTGGCCTGAACCTCTGGAAGTTCTCTGTCAATGTGTGATTACAGCCGTTTCTGTATTAAAAGTTTAGTAAAACTTTACTTGCATGGGATATAAAAAATATTGTCCAATGATTTCTGCATTCCACTGGGTCACCTCTCTTTGAAATGGGCACAAATATCGATCTCTTCCAATCAGTCAGCCAGATAGCTGTCTTCCAAATTTCTTGGCAGAGATGAGTGAGTGCCTCCTGTACCACCTCACTTTCTTGAAAGATTTCAAATTTTATTCCATCAATTCCTGGTGCTTTGTTCTTTGCCAATTCCTTCAATTCACCTTGGACTTCCTCCTTCAGTATCATTAGCTCTTGATCATAAGGTATCTCTTGAAACTGCAGAACATCAACCATTTCCTTTTGGTACAGTGACTGTATTTCTTCCATCTTCTTTTGATGCTTTATGCATCATTTAATATTTTGCCCAGAAAATCCTTCAATAACAAAAGTAGAGGCTTGAATTTTTTCTTCAGTTCCCCCAGCTTGAGAAATGCTGAATGTATTCTTCCCTTTTGGTTTTCTGAGTCCTGATCTTTGAATGTTTCATTGTAATATTTGACTTTGTCTTCTTAAGCTGACCTTTGAAATTTTCTGTTCAGCTCTAGTGCCTCCTCATTTCTTCCATTTGCTTTAGCATCTCTATGCTGGAGAGGAAGTTTCAATTGTCTCATCTGACATCCATTTTGGTCTTTTCCTTCTTTCTTATCTTCTTAATGGCTTTTTGCTTTCTTCCTGTATGATGTTCTTGAAGTCGTCCCACATGTCTTATGGTCTTCGGTCTTTAGTGTATCAAATCTGTTCTTCAGATGATCTCTAAATTCAGGTGGGATAGATTCAAGGTCATATTTAGGCTCTTGTGTACTTGTTTTCATTTTCTTCAGCTTTAGTCTGAATTTGCATATAGCAATTGATGTTCTGTTCCACAATCTTCTGAGGTCTTGTTTTGGCTGATGATATGGAGCTTTTCCACTGTCTCCTTCCACAGATAGTGTCTATTTGATTTCTGTGTATTTCATCTGGTGAGGTCCATGTGTACAATTGAATCTTATGCTGTCTAAAGACGTATTTGAAATGAACAAATCATTGGTTTTGCAGAATTCTATCATTCAGTCTCTAGAATCATATCTATCACCAAGGCTATATTTTTCAACTACTGATCCTTCCTCTTTGTTTCCAACCTTTGCATTCCAATTACCAGTAATAATTAATACATCATGATTACATGATTGAGCAATTTCAGCTTGAAGAAATTGGTAGAATTCTTCTATTTCATCCTGACTGGCTTCAGTGATTGGTGCATAAATTTGAATAATAGTGGTATTAATTGGGTCTTCCCTGTTGTTGTTGTTAGGTGCCATGGACTTGGTACTGACTCACAGTGACCCTATGTACAACAGAACAAAATACTGCCCAGTCCTGGGCCAACCTCACAATTGTTGCCACACTTGAGGCCGTTGATGCTGCTACTTTGCCAATCCATCTCACTGCAGGTCTTCCTCTTTTTCTCTTATACTCCACCCTACCAAACATGATATCCTTCTCCAGTGACTGGTCCTTCCTGACAATATGTCCGAAGTATGAGAGACAAAGTTTGGCCATCCTGACCTCCAAGGAACACTCTGGTTGCACTTCTTTCAACACAGATCTGTTTGCATTGAGCACTTTTCCGTAGTCACATGGATATTATCCAATCACAGACCGCGTTTTACCTCATGGCAATAGCATTACTCTTCAATTTGTCATTTCCAGCATTGTAAACCATGTGGTCATCAGATTCAAGATGGCCAATACCAGTCCATTTCATCTCACTAATGCCTAATATATCAATGTTTATGAGTTCCATTTCATAACAGTTGTTGTTGTTGTTGTTGTTATGTGCCGTGGAGTCAGTTCCGACTCATAGCGACCCTGTACAGGGTTTCCGAGGCTGTAAATCTTTATGGGAGCAGAAAGCCTTATCTTTCTCCCACAGCACAGCTTGTAGTTTCGAACTGCTGGCCCTAAGGTTCGCAGCCCAATTCGTAACCACTTCGCTACTAGAGCTCCTTCATAACAGTAGGCATCTTGAAAGGTTGTTATAGAAATTAGTCAATGTGAAGCACTTAGAAAAGGGTGACATAATTTCAGTATTTTCTCTTATTACTGACTCACAATGGTCTAGTATATAAAGATGTTATTTCTCTAATTAAACACATTTGTAGAAATGTGTGGAAAGTAAGATTACAGAGTAATGAGAAATTTTTCTTATTAATAAAGGACATCATGAATAAGATGAACTGATCTTGTGATAGCTCTTTGCTTCTCAGAACCTTCCATGAATTTTTAGCTTTCAGTCAGCTAGAAAAATTACTAGGTGACTGTAGTATACGAAGGTTAGATAAAACACACTCCAAAATATATAAAGTAGGTGCAGTAGACTTTGTTGTCTCCTAGCATCTATTTCTCTACTTCATCCTTCTTGTCACTGTCCCCCACTTTGTGCAATATTCACCCCATCCATATAGTCATGTACTGCAGAGGATGCTCAGTCCAGCTCCTATGGTGAAGTGATGGTTAGTTAAACTATTATAGTAACTCCATACCCCTAGTCTGACACTGAGTTGTTATTGTTAGGTGCCATTGAGTCAGTGCCAATTCATAGTGACTCATAGGGTTCCCAAAGCTGTAAATCTTTATGGGAGCAGAAAGTCTCATCTTTCTTTTATAGAGCAGCTGGTGACTTTGAGATGCTGACTTTGTGGTTAGCAGTTCAGTGCTTACTTACCCTATAGCACCACTAGAGCTCCTGAGATTGGGTTTTTGTTACCGTTAAGTGCTATCAAATTGGTTCTCATGTATAGTGAGCCTGTACAGTGTTTCCAAGGAGTGGCTGTGGGTATGTGACCCAGGTCTGAGCAACTAAATGGGAAGGTATGCTCTGTGGCTTCTGAGAAGAGTTTTTCATTTCTAAGGAAAAAGATGTGAGGAAGTCCCTTCTTCCCTCTGAAAGTGACTGTTGGGACCACTTACTGGACCATATTGAACCCATAAGTAGTATCAGTCTTAGAATGATGGCAATGTTAAGAAGAGCAGAGTAGAAAGAAAAGAAGATCTGGATGATATCACCAAATGAAGTTAATCAATCTTGCAGTCACTCTGTCTGTGAATTTAAGAAAGGATAAATGTCCTTATTGTTAGGTTTTCTGTTATTGAGCACTAGGTACAGAAATCATCATTCATATTTATGTTGTTATTGTTGTTAAGTGCCGTCGAGTCAGTTCCAACTCATAGTGACCCTGTATAGTGTTTCCAAAGTAATAAAACTTGCGCAGGAAGTCTCATCTTTCTTCTATGGAGTGTCTGATGGGCTTGAACCCCTGACCTTGTTGTTCACAGGCCAGTACTTATTCTACAGAACCACCATGCTTATATTGCACTACTGAAATAATCAGGCTTCACAATGCATCAGAATGGCACAGTTTTGAGGAAGAAACATAATGAAAAAGGAAACGAACAAGGCTCAAAAAGGAAATTGTCAAAGAATAGCTAGACACCAGACAAATGCAGAGGGACAGCCTATGAAGAGAAATTACAAAAAACAAAAAAAAATGACTCATTTGGATTTGCTGGCTGTTGGGTGCAGATGAAATATATGTGTTGAGATTAAATATACTCCTTTTATGGTTTGGGGGTAAAGTAAGAACGTCACATGTAAAAAGTGCTAAGAAATTCACAATACGGGTAGAAATAAGAATCACTGAACTAATAGAAATATGCCTCCAATTTTCACAAAATTGCACAGAAGTTTCTAGGAAAGGTGTTAGCACAGAATTAAGCAGGATAATAAAAAAGAGAGGTTGCAGAGATACAATAGCCATTTCACTAAGTGTTCCTGTTACTGAGAGTCTTCTCTTCCAGGGAAATTGTTATATGCTGAGCAGATCGGCAGTAATTTATCCATCAGGTAAAGAAAAAGATTAAAAAGAAAGGGCTCAGTGTAGCTTGAAAATTGCCACCTTCCCCACACCTACCTGCAGAGGTACCTCTGGATCCATGGTAAACTGCGGGATTTTATCAGCCCAAGGCAAGAATTTCTTAGTTTTGTGGTCCAGATAATAATCAAAGATTGTTCCCTGGGATGGAAACTTCACTGCTTTCATCTCTTTATGCCACCAACGACTGAATTCAGCTGGGTAGTTGGAAAGCTAAGGGGAACAAGAGTAATCCTTACTGCAGATTTAAAGACAATTCTGAAAAGATACAAAGTCCCTCCCCAATGCTGCTTCACATACAGTGTTTGCAATATACAGAATCAAGATTACAAATTAAGCCTTTTGTATGGGATGGAGTCCTGCTGTGGCACTGTGGGTTAATGCGCTGGACTGCAAGGTTGGTTTGAACCAAAAGGTTAGTGGTTCAAATTCACCAGTACTTCTTGAAAACCCTACACATGGTTGCTATAAGTTGGAACTGAATCGATGGCACTTACCAACATGGGATGGAGTAACTGACCCAAGAAATATAACTAGAGATAAGTTCTAAGAGTGATACTGTCTTAGAGGTAGTTGTTAAGTGCTGCAGAGTTGGTTCCAACTCATAGCAATCTTGTGTATATAATAAGAGAGGGGAACTGGGACAAGTCAAGTAACAAAAGCTTTCTATATCCACAAGTTGACCACAAAACCCTTTTATCATCACAAGATGACCTGGCCTAACAATACTTTTTAAATTTTAAAATTACTTATGAATCCATTCATTCATTCATTCAACAAAAGACTTACGGGCTTTGCAAAAAAAAAAAAAAAGTATCACTTTTGGGAATCTAGTTACAAGTGAGAGAATTTAAAAAATAAAATTTTATTGTGTTTTAGGTGAAAGTTTTCACAACTAATTAGGTTCCCACTTACCAATTTTTAGAGAAATTGTTCCATTGATCACATTTTCCACAAGGTGTCAGCATTCTCATTATTTCCATTCTGTTGGTTCTATTTCCATTAATCTAGCTTCCTTGCTCCTCCTGACAGTCTCATCTTTGTTTTATTGTTAATGTTGGTAAATTGGCTTCAGAGTGTTGATTATTTAAAAGAACACAACACTCATGGGTGATAGTGTTTATTTTTTAAGCTAATGTATTATTTGACTGAAAGGTGTTCTCTGGGAACGGCTTCAATTTTGAGAATAAAGAGTTTATTATCTCAGGACAATAATCTTAGGGGTTCCTTGGTTATCTATTGCCCAGTAAGCATAGTTTTTGGAATCTGAATTTTGTTCTACATTTTTCTCCCTATCTGGGATCTTCTATTGTGCACCTGGTCAGAGCTGGTACTGGTAGTTAGACACCATCTAGTTCTTCTGGTCACAGGCTGAATGATGGCCTATTGACTTCTATGTCCACAGAATGAACTGACCTTGTTGCTGTTGTCAGGTCTTGGCAAGTTGGTTTCAACTCAGAGTGACCATATGCACAATAGAATGAAACATGCCTGGTCCTATGCCATGCTCACAATTGCTGGTATGTTTGAGCCCATTATTGGTGCTACTGTGTCAATTCATCTTGTTGAAGTCTTCCTCTTTTTCATTGACCTTCCACTTTACCAAGCATGATAGATCCTCCTCCAGGGATTGATCACTCCTGATGTCATGTCTAAAGAATTAGAGGTTAAGTGTTACCATCCTTGCTTCTAAGGTACATTCTGGCCGTACTTCTTCCAAGACAGATTTATTTACTCTTCTAGCCATCCATGGCACTTTGCATATTCTTTTCCTACAATATAATTCAAATGCATCGATTCTTTTATGGTTTTTTTCATTATCCGACTTTCACATGCTTATATGAGGCAAATGAAAATACCATGGCTTAGATTAGGTGCCATCAAAATTATATCTTTGCTCTTTAACACTTTAATGAGGGCTTTTGCAGCAGATTTGCCTAATGCAATTCGTTGCTTGATTTCTTGACTGCTGCTTCCATGAGTGTTGATGGTGAATTCAAACAAAATGAAGTATTTGACAACTTCAATCTTCTCTCCATTTATATGAATGTTGTTTATTGGTCCTGTGGTGAGGACTTTTGTTTTCTTTACACTTCCATATTGAAGACTGTAGTCTTTGATCTTCATGAGTAATTATTTTAAGTCCTCTTTGTTTCCAACAAGCAAGGTTATATCATCTACACATCTTCTTCAAATAATCCATCTTCTCAGATTTTCTCAGCATACACATTCAATAAGTATGATAAAAAGATACAAATCTGACCTTTTCTGATTTAAAACCATTCAGTATTCCCTTGTTCTGTTTGAATACCTGCCTCTTGGTCTATCTATATGTAAGTTCCTCATGAAAACAACTGAGTGTTCTGAATACTCATTCTTTGCAATGCTAGCCACAATTTGTTATAATCAGCACAGAGATGCTTTTGTATAGTCACTAAAGCACAAGTAAACCTATTTCTGATATTTTCTGCTTTTAGCTAACATCAGCAATGATATCCCTACTTCCATATCCTCTTCTGAATCTGGCTTGAATTTCTGGCAGCTCCCTATTGATGTACTACTGCAACTGATTTTGAATTATCTTCAGCAAAATTTTACTTGCTTGTGAGAATAATGACATTATTTGATGATTTCCACATTAAATTGAAATCACTTTTCTTTAGATTGGGCCACAATATGGATCCCTTCTAATCAGTTGGCCAGGTAGCTGTCTTCGAAACATCCTGGCACAAACAAGTGAGCGCCTCCAGCACTGTATCAGTTTGTTGAAACATTTCAATTTGTATCCCATCAATTCCTGAAGCCTTGTTTTTGCCTATGCCTCAGTGTTGTTTGGACATCTTCCATTAAGACATGACTTCTATATCATGGGATGGCCTTGCATAGTGACTTCTGTAGCCAAAGGATGATCAGGTCTAATGACTTCTATGTTCACAGGATGATCTGGCCTAGTGACTTCTTTGTCCACTGGATGACCTGGTACCATGAATTCTTATAACCATGGGATGATGTGGCATAGAGACATTTGGTGAACCCTAAAATATGGTGTGTCCATTGCATTTAGTTAATTTTGTATCTATTCAAGACCTAACCTCCCATTTTGGAACTAGGAAATATCTTAAAATGTGTACTTACTCTGGTGTCCTTATGTCTTTGGACTAAGATCTACTTTCTTTACTGGACTATTGTTGTTAAGTGCCGTTGAGTCAGTTCCAACTCATAATGAATGTGTAAAAGGTTTCACAGGAGCGGCTAGTGAGCTTGAACCACTGACCTTACAGTTCAAACCAATCTTGCAGTCCAGTGCAGTAATGCACAGCACCACACCAGGACTGTATTGGACTGGATCACACATATTGGTAGTGGCTGTCAGGATGGTTAGAGGAGAAGAGTGAGTTGGAAGAGGTGATCAGTCTTTGCAGGTAGATGTTACCCCACTAACTTCCAAACTACTGGACCTCATACTCTTATATACCATCAGCCAAGTGTCAATAAGTTTAAACACATTTGAATTGTTTTGAGACTAACGACATGGGATATTATATCAACCCTATAAAAGTTGGTCTTAAACCCAGTTAGTCTAGAGGCCATTACTTAGCTGCCACCATTCTTAGTGGGTAGTGTGCAGAATACATACAGACCTCTCTTTGCATCAAAAGTTGGATTACCTAAACTGCTGTATGGACTCCCGTGTGGCACTGTAGGATCAGCACTGGACTGCGAACCATAAGGCTGGCAGTTCAAATCCATCAGCTGCTCCTCAAAAACCCTCTACTAGGTCGCTATGAGTCAGAACCAACTCGATTGCACTTAACAACTACAACCAACTGGTGCAGCAGCAAAACAACCTTGGTAACAAATCTTTGATTCATTATTTATTTAGCTAAATAGATTTGAAACATGATTGTTTTTGCAAGTGCTGTCAAATTGGTTCTGACTAATATTTACATGGTGGGGAATAAAATAAATAGAGTTCCACCTTCATCGAGTTTAGGAAAGCCATGGGGAAGATGGAGGAGGCAGAGGTTAAGTCAACAAATACAGAAATAGTTCACATGCTCTGAAAATAAGCAGAAGTAACAGTGATTAATTTAATTGGATATTATGGAAAGCCCCTTGAGAACAGCTACAGATAAGGGAGAAGAGTATTTCCAAAAGAAGTCTACAAGTGCAAAAGTCCTGAGGTAGAAAATAATTTGTCATATTCAAGGAACTGAACATGGTCACAAAAACAATGTTCTACATCCTACTTTGGTGAGTAGTGACCGGGACCTTAAGAAAGCTCACAAGCAGACATCTAAGGTACAGTTACTGGTCTCCCTGTCCAGAAGAAAGAAGAGTGATGAAAACTGAAGATGTTTAGAACCAGTTAGTCCAATAGATTAATGGACTACATCAACATCAATCTCCATGACCCTGAGACCAGAAGAACAAGATGGTGCCCAACTACCATTACCAACTACCCTGCAAGAGATCACATTAGAAGGTCTTGGATAAAATGGGAGAGTATTTGCAACAAAAACTCAACATCATTAAAAAGACTAAGCTCACTGGTCAGATAGACACTGGTGGAACCCTGATATTATGGCCCTTGGTCACCCTTGATGTGTAGAAATAAACTCACTCCTGTGGCTCAATTTTCAGTCAAGCAATAGCTGTATATAAGGAGGACACCAACAGTACAGAATGGTCAACCATTCAAGATCCAAAGGGCACCATTCACCTAAGGACAAAATTCAGAAGGGTAGGGAAAGAAGGAGGAATGAAAACAAGAAACACAGGGAGGAAGTGGGATAAATGATGTTATATTGAGGGACTACAATCACTGAGATAGAATTCAGGGTGTGCTCTGTTGACTATAAAACTATTATTGACTATGACTATAAAATATTCTGCTCTGTAAACCTACATTCCATTTACAATAAAAAGTTAAAAAATAAAAAAGCGAGAGAGATACTACGGACAAATACTAATTTGACCTGACACCCTATTTTTTCAGAAGTCAACCTTTACAGAAGCTCCATCCCAGAAGCAAAGTTTAATCAATTATCTTTATATGTTAATTCTAAAAAGGAGGAAAAAGAATCTGGCTAGTGCAGTTGTCAAGAAGTGAATGAATGAAGGGGGAGTGTCAGAGAAGAAGGGAGAGATAGCAGTATCAGATCGAGACCATGAAACTAGTATTCAGTTTTTAAAAATCATATTGTAAAGGCAATATAAATCCAATAAAGTGTTTTGAACTCTGGAGTATAACATAGTCCAATTGACATTTTTAAAAAACCCTCACTCTGGCTGCTGAACAGATAAGAGATTATAGGGGAAGGTGTAAAGGCAGAAAGACCAGTGAGGAGGCTACTTGAGAAATGATGTGGTTTACAGTAGCTCAGAGCAAGTGGATCTGAGATGCATTTTAGAGGTTGTGGGCTATGGCTTGAGTAAAGAGCACAGGTCTTGAGTCAGTCCACTGCAACTGAACACAGCTCAGTTCTTAAGCAGGTAGACTTCTTAAGCAGGTTTAACTTCTGTTTCATACTTCAAAAAGAAGAATGATAAATAGGCATCCTGGTGTGGTGCCATAGGATAAGCACTGGACTGCTAACTTCAATGTTGGTGGTTCAAACCCACTAGCCATTCCTCCAGAAACTCTATACAGGGTCACTATGAGTTGGAACCGAATCAATGGCACTTAACAACAGCAAAAACAACAATCCACATAGGTTATTAATGTTTTGAAGATTAAATGAGAGTCTATGAAAAACTCTAAGCACATCATCTGACACATAGCAGACACTCAGATGTATGAAACTGGCTATTCCTAAGAACACTGATTGTGACTGCTTGTGACAACTCAAGTTGCCAAACTCATTGACCCATCTTATGAATGTTTTGTAGCCATAGACCTTTCCAAATGCTAATGATGATGATGATGTACACTGCTAATGGGGGAGAAGAAGGCTCTCAATGTCTCAATGTGATGCCACATCTTCTGGTTGGAATGACTATGCAGAAGGACACCATGTCTGGAGATGGAGCAGACTGTAAGAGGATCAGCTGGGAGGAAGGTGAAGAGTTAGGATCAGGAGTGAAAAGGGCTCAGCTGGGACATCCCACTCATGCAGATCATTTTACAACCCTGGAAAAGGAGAGGTAATGTAGAAAACACTAAAGTAAAAACAGGTGGATGGAGGGAAGATTCTATATGTGGCTTCCAAGAACAACTAAAAGCCAACATGTGTTGTAAATTATATAGTGCGTGAAACTTAAAGAAAACCATCTGAAGTCACCCAATACTAAGACTTAACTCTTACTCAAAGAAAATCTGGCTTCTAAGAAGAGATGAAATAAGATCTAGGAGGCCAAGTGACTCTCAGGTTTATTTACAGATATGAGTGACGGTAACCTAGTGACAAGAAGCAGAAGTGGCACATAGGTTATATCAACCACTTATTTTAGGATCTGCAGTGAGCAAACCAACAGAAATATGTCATTCTTAACTATGAGGCCTGTCAATGCATTTTCCCTGTTGACATTTGGAAACATTCAGGTACATCTGGAAAATATGTATGCCATTTATTTTTAATGTAAAGATTCAAGGATACTCAGACAAACAATGTGACTGAGAGTAGATTCAAGGTTACCTTTGGAAACAGACAAATATGGGTGGGAATCCTCATGTTGTCATTTACCATCAACATGACCTTGAACGTGTTGCTTTGCTTCTTTGAGCTTTATCTGCACAATGAAGCTATAGCATAACAACTCTTCATCTGCATAATGAGGAAATTTTGACGAATCACTGTAAATGCTATATTAGAACATCTATAGTATATAGAGGTACATGGTGGAAATTAGATCTGCAAATTTCTCAAGCTAGAAAAATCACACTTCGTACTGGGTAAATGTAAGCAATTTGTGTGTATGGTTTGTGTGTGTGTATGTATACATACTTTTGTATAAAATGTTTCCCAACAAGAAATCAGAAGTCCTAACTGGGTTACACCAGAAATGATGGAAAGATGTGATAACTTCACTTCAAGATGGAGGACAGGCCAATGAAAGGGAATTGCCAGGTTTGACTGAGCTTCATGAATGCTTACTCTGGGAATGGTATGTGACTGAGAAAGCCTGAAGACAGGGAGACCAACTTGGAAGTTACTATGGGGGCCAAGGATATCATGCTTGCTAAGGTGGAGGGTCATAGAAAAAGAAGAGGATCCCCAACAAGATGGACTGGCCAAGTAGCAGCATTGATGGACTCAAGTGTAACGACAATAGTGAGGTTGGACCAGGATGGGGCAGTGTTTCATTCTGCTGTGCATAAGGTCACTATGAGTTGGTACTGACTTGATGGCACCTAACAATAATAACAACAATGGGGACCAATGTAGTCTTGGTGTGGTGCTGTGGGTTAATGTGACAGACCGCAAAGCCATTTGAACTGCAATGTGGGCAGTTCAAGCTCACTAGCTGATCCTTGGAAACCATGTACAGCATCGATGTGGGTTGGAATCAACTCAACAGCACTCAACAACAGCAGCAGCAGCCATGGGGACCAATGGCAATTTGAAAATTATACACTTAGGAGTTAAAACTGGAGAAGAGGGGACAGACTTGACACCATTCTGTTAGTGAAACCAGAAGTATCTAAAGATTATTAGATATAGAAATAAGGTAGAGTAGTGTCTAACAGATTTTTAACTAGAATAACTTGCATGTATCACTGATGAAAAAGTGAATAACGAGGAAGCATGGGATAGACGAAGAGTTCCAACTCATGGACAACGAATATGACTAGCCTATTGGCAATGGTACAGAGATAGTTGGACATATAGAATCTTGAGGTCAGAGAGAAATCAGGCTGAAGGCAATAGATTTGACAATGTCAGTCAAGGTTGGCACCATCAGTCTAGATAAGGTGGGCGAGAGAATGTACAGACTTAGTAGAGAATTGGGTAGGGGAAGGAGATTCATGATAATACAGCATATTTAAATATTCAAAACAGGAAACTTATTATGCAAACCATTTCTAAACATACCTGATCTTGTAGTAGAGTGCCTCCAAATGCCCAGATACAAGCAAAGACAAAATAGACTTCGTAAACTTCTTTGGGGCTGTCCGAAGGTACATTTTCAGGTGTCAACAGACACTCCAAAAGAGCACAAATTGTCTAATGGAAAAGAAACAGTCCTTCACTTAAGGCAGCTATTTACTGAAACAGTGGAATAGATTCAGAAATCTTTCATACAAATCCATTTATCTTTAAGAGATTATATAATTTTCTCCAATTCTGTTGATTTATGACATTGGGAGAGTCAAAAATTACTGCCTCGGGATTCTACGTCACTTGTGGAAAACTTACACCACTTGTAACCATATTGATTTTCTAGCTAATAACAAATTATTAAAAAGAACTAAAAACTGTTGCTGCCCAATATATAACCACTATAAGGAGAAATACATGATCCCATGTATCTGAAATACCTACATTAGGAAAGCATACAGAGACTGAGGTGGGCAGAAGGGAGGGGAAAAGAAGAACTCATAGTTTATGGTAGACTGAGCTTATGTTAAGGGTGACAGAAAAATTTGGAAATGTGTAACGGTGACGGCTGAACAAACTGATTATTGTTGTTGTTAAGTGCCATCGAGTTGGTTCCAGCTCACAGTGACCCTGTATAGGGTTTCCAAGGAACAGCTGGTGAGTTTGAACCACCAATCTTGTGGTTAGCATCCCAGTGCTTATCGACCACCACATTAGGACTTGATATTAATGAAATTGAATCGTGGATGTATAGAACTGATTTGTACTTGGTAAAGAATGTTGAAATGGCAAACGTTTTGTTACATAAGCTTTTATTACAGTAAAAACCAAACCAACCACTGAAATAAGCAGAAGCAAAAGGGGGTGGGGAAGTAGTTGGCATATAACTGCACCCTTTTAATAAACAGGGAATCATAGTATGATGCGTAATACACATAGCACTTGGTACTCTACTTTCCCACTTAGAAATCAGTGAAGACATAGTTCCTTACCAAAAAGCGCTGCTCTACAATATCAGTGGGATGGATGTGTAAGATCCCACTATGGACAGACATTTCTTTAACTCTCTTTGTGTTGATGCATATGCAGATAACCTACTTTCCACTAGTGCTTTTGGCAGTATTTTTTCCCACCTGTTGTTATAAATTTAGAATGCTGGTCTGGCAGCCTTAGCCTGTGGTGTATTTTAGACACCAGGATAAATATAAGTGGGGAAGAAATGCTGTTCAGGAACTTGTCCTTCACACGCTCCAGGTGAAACGTAATGTGCTCTGTTGGTTAAAAGCATGCTGCGTGTTCAGAGCAGCCACATCAGCAATGAGGGGAAAGTGGCTGCTGTAAAGTGTTTCACCATACAACTAACAGCCAGTAAGGATACTTTTTGACAAGTTCTCTGAAGCACAAACATATTAGTGAGTATGATCACTGAACTCTCAAAGTTCGATATGCCCTGTCCCCATTTTTTTGAGGCAACAACAGACATTGATCAATTGCAGATACAGAGCTATGCAAACTGGATCATACTTGTGCCTTGCCTCGCAGACTGTGAGAGATGGGGATGTGGACGAAATCTATATCAAACACGTCAATGGGGCTTGGAAATAATCCGAAGGTAACTTTTAATTTAAATAACTAAGTACCTGTTAGATTTTATATCTTCCCTCTTAATTTCTATTATTTTCTATTGTGGCATTTTGTCAATTTAACCTAGTCTTTTAATAAAATAAAGGCTACCAATTTGTTGTCAGGACAAACAATGTGAAACAGAACTTTGCTATGACTGAGTAGAAGCCATGTTGTTGTTCTAAGGAATGTTAGGATCAAAACAAAACTGACCGTAGGGCTTCATTGTCTTGCAAGCCACAGAGCTAAGAACTCTAAAAGCATAAATGGTTTTTTATTTTCTCCTAAGTACAATACCTTAAAAACATAAATAAATAAAAATTGATCCCTGTGCCAACAATCAAGTATTTCTTTTAATGTGTCTTCTCAAAGAATTAATACGTAAAACTAAAATGAAAAGTTAAAGATGTCTCATATATTGGGATACATAGTACATTAAAATCTTTAAAAAGCCCTTGGAAGCTATACTTTTTTTATTCTCACTTTTCCCACAACTGCCTGTCCTTATAAATAACCACAGGAAAGTGGCTACAAAACAACAGCAATTAAAAAAAAAAAAAAATAGAGCTAATGGCATTTCTGAATAGGACAAAAGGAAGTTGTGAGAGCAAACACCATATTAATTCCTACTGACCTATTTTCACACTACTCTTGAATGAAAAACTTAACACCATAGAGAATCACACAAATACACAAGTCAACTTGAGAAAGAACACTATCATGCTTTTTGCAAGTATTACACCACAGGAAGTGTAATTAGGCTAACTATATAATTAATTCATTATGAATAAATTCAGACCTGCTTTCAGAAATAAATTATACCTCAGATAATTACTGTTGAAAACTATCGTTTACTTAATTGGTGTGTGAATTATCCAAAAACCTTAACTTTTCTCTTCTCATTATGCTGGTAACTATTTCTAATTTAACTTCAAACAAATTTGGTAACATACTAACTTAATAGTAGCAAAGTACTTAGAAGCTAATTTTGCTTCTTTAGGAAAGGGAAGGGTTCATAATTGTTAACCTTTTGTGAGGTTTTAAAACTGGGGATAGTTTTTGTTCATGCTGACATTAAGACCACAACTTTCATTTCTCTGCGCTGCAAATTATTTTAATTTGCTTCCACAAGGACATATTATATATTTGTATGCCCTTCACCCTTAACCTGCTGCCTTAACAATCAGGATCAGAAACAACTCATCCCTAGAGTATCATGAGCTTTTCATCTATACTGACAAGACCTAAGGGATATTTTGGGGAGAGGAAGAGAAGGAAAGGAAGAGAGGGCAAAGTGAGAGGTCTGTGGGTGGTGGCACATTTGTGGTAGAATTCAGACTTCTCCCTTATTCTCTGGCTGACATTTAAACTGCACTGATTTATTTAGTTCAAAAGATATATTGAGCACCTGCCCTGGACAAGTTACTTGTCGTTAAGTACTGTGGAGTCGGTTCCGACTCATAGTGACCCTGTACAGGGTTTCCGAGGCTACAAATTTGTACAGGAGCAGAAAGCCTCATCTTTCTCCCACGGAACCGCTGGTAGTTTTGAACTGCCAACCTTGAGGTTAGCAGCCCAGTTCATAACCACTACACTACCAGAGCTCCTTGGACAAGTTACTTGGTGGTAGTGGTTATGTGCCGTGGAGTCGGAACTGACTCATAGTGACCCTGAGGGGTTTCCTAGGCTGTAAATCTTTACGGGAGCAGAATGCCTCATCTTTCTCCCACGGAATAGCTGGTAGTTTCGAACTGCTTACCTTAAAGTTCGCAGCCTGATTCGTAACCACTACGCTACTTAGGAGCCAGAAAAATAACTAAGGCTGCTGGAACTGAGTTCTTGTAATTCTGCTCTAATATACCTTGAAGGAAACAATGACTCAATAAACACATGTTCAGCAACTATTACAGGCTGATGGTGTGGCACTGCGGGTCAATGCACTGGACTACAAGGTTGGTTTGAACCATAAGATCAGTGGTTCAAGTTCACCAGCCACTCATTGGAAACCCTATATAGGGCTGCTATGGGTTGGATCTGACTCAACTTAACAACAACAATGTGCTGGTGGTGGTGGTAGTTGTGCACTGTGGAGTTTGTTCTGACTCATAGTGACCCTGTAAATGGTTTTCTAGGCTGTAAATCTTTATGGGATCAGAAAGCCTCATCTTTCTCCTACTACACACTAAGAGCGCTCTATTATAGCTGAAGAAAACATAGCTTGCCCTCTAGAGTCCATAGTCTAGGGAAAGAAACACACCACAAACCCCGAATGGCAATGGAATGTGAGCAGAATGTGACAGAGGGTTGTTTCCACTGATACGGAAGATGGAGACCTACAGGGAAGGTGGGTTAGTGGTTACAGGTAGGAGGGGGAAGGATGCAGGGATGCATTGCTTAGGGGACTGTGACTTCTTTGAAGGGAAATGGAAACAGACTATGGGGACAGCTGTACACCACAGTGAAATCCAAGCCACTAAATTACACGTGCAAAGAATGCTGAAATGGCAAATGTTTTATTACAAGCATATTTACAAAATAAAGAATATATATAAAAATTAAAAAGCACTAAGAAACATGAACCGGAGTAGGGGAGATGCAAGTTGGGTTAAATAACAAACCCAGAAATCTTTGCGTCATCTTGACAAAACAAATACTCTGTCCTCTCAGCTGAGCCCCTCTGCCATGTCAGAACTAGAAGGATAAATGACCCAACCAAAGACAGACCTGCACCAGGCTATTTTCTGGAATCGAAGTGATGGTTTTAAAGCTTGTTCTCAGCTTATCCAAACATGCAGGAACATACTTATCAAAAAGAATAGTTAAGTTGGCCTTTTCTGATTGATGCCGCCTTCTGTCGATCCAACTGGCCACATACCTGAAAAAGAACACAGAAAAGCTTTTATCGAATGCTAGGTTTTAAAGACAGAGCTTCACCCAGTCAAAAGCTGCTCCCTTCAACACAGCTTGGTGCAACACTTCAGGGACAGGTTCCATGAGTGGGTTCTACTTCTAAACCTACAAATATTTTTAAATGGCCCTTTAAAAACTTGTTTTAATGGCTATTCTGCTTTAGTGAAAAGAATGTAAAAGAAATTCCTAATAGCACTTAGAAGCCAAACACAATAGAGTGTAAGTAGGCCATTACCGAGTATTTATCGGGAAGTGCGGGGTGCCATTTCATAAAGGACCCGAACTATTTGCATAGCATCGGCCTTATTTGTGAAAACAGCTTGTGACCACTCCTGATTAATATTGGCATCAATTGTTTAGTCATGAGAAACCAGTTAGAAAAGAAAAGGTGAAAATTCCATAGGGGCTTTTTCAAAAGACCTCCTTTCAACTGGAGTTTCAAATAAGTGGCCTAACAATGTTGAAATATGTTTCTCATACATACATATGAATCTGAAGCTTAGGAAATGTTATCAATTTTTGAAAAATTAAGCATCTCTTACATAAGAATGTATATATATATATATTTGTTTTGTTTTGTTTTCTGCTAAGCGCCATCAAGTCTGTTCTAACAGTAACTAATAGCAACCCTGTATAGGATTTCCAAGGAGCAGCTGGTAGGTTTGAACTGCCAGACTTATAGTTACCAGTCCAAGTGCCTATTGTACAGCACCACATAAAAAAAAGAATGGCTTAGTTGCATCCATAGTAGTTGCTAGGGTGCAAGTTTAGGATGCTAAACTAAAAATAATTGCTTAAAAGTTCTCAGTAAGTAGGACCCTGCGTGGCATTGTAGGATAAGCACTGAACTGCTAACCAAAAGATAGGTGATTCAAACTCACAAGTTGCTCCTTGAAAACCCTACAAAGGATCCCCATCAGTTGGATTCGACTCAATGGCACTTAACAACAACAAGTAATACGTCACAATAATGAATTCATTTCGTTGAGATCAGAGTAGAAACGTTTCACAAACCAATTACATCTATACCTTGTTTTTAGCAAATAGGATTTAACAATTTGAATATTAAAACAATATGATTATTTTACTAAAGTCTCCCTTTGTTTTTATTTTTAAAAACTTGTTATTCTGAACTGAGTGAATGTCTGCTCCCCAGTTTTTACATTCAACCAATCATGTACTTTGTTGCATCTCAGTTGCAATCCCCTCGATGTAACATCACTTGTCCCAAATTTTCCCTCTGTCTCTGGTTTTAATTCCCCTTCTTTCTCAACTCTTCTGAAGTCTGTCCTGAGGTAAATGCTGCCCTTTTGATCACAAATGGTTGACCATTTTATGGTATGAGTACCTCATTAGTGTTGTTTGGCTGAAAATTGAGCCAAGGGGGTGAGTTCAGCTCCAGACCTGAAGGGTGACCAAAGGTCATATATTCTTGGGATTCTGCCAGTCTCTGACTAGTGAGCTTGGTCTTTCTAATGATTTTCAGTTTTGTTCCACATTTTCTCCCACTCTATTCAGAACCTTCTAATGTGACCCCTTTCAGAGGCGTTGGTAGTGGTAGCTGAGTCTCAGGATCATGAAGACTGATTTACATTTGGTCTATTAGTCTACTAGATTGTTTCCAAGTATCCTGTTTTCATCACTTATCTTTTCTCCAGACAGGGAGAGACCAATAGTTACACCTTAGATAACAACTCATGAGCTTTTAAGGTCTCAGTCTCTACTCACCAAAGTAGGTTGCAGAACAGTGTCTTTGTGGACTGTGTTATGCCAATTGACAATGTGTTCTCAGAGACTGACCATAACCTCAAAGTGTTTGGTAATATCTCAGAAGACTCCTGGTGTGGCACTGTAAGAAAAGCTCTGGACTGCTAATCATAAAGTCAGTGGTTCAAACCTATCAGCTGCTCCTTGGAAACTCTATACAGGGTTGACATGAGTCAGAACTGGACTTGACAGCACTTAAGAAAAGCAACATCAAGTTTTCATAACTTTCCCCCCTGTATGCTACTGTCTTTGCTTTTCAAAAGCCACTGCCATGGGGTTTATTAAATACTTAACTACATTTACACGATAGTTAGATTTTTAAAACATCAGTTGCTAAAACTTTTGCAGGTCTAACAGGAAGGGCTTTTAATAGAAGGCAAGTTGCATGATGACAACTTGACAGAGAATCTCTCTTATGTTGGTGACTTTGGGCATCATGGAGCAATGGAAGACAGGTGCTAGTGATCAGGACCAAAGCATGACGACCACGCCTAACCTTCAACTACTGATTTTACTGCACATCAGCTCCAAGAAGTGAAATCTTAGTGTGTCTGATTTCAAACAAACAAACACACAAATAAAGATTGCCTTGTAGTTGTTGTCACATGCCAATGAGTCAATATTGACTCACAGAACACTATGTGACATAGCAGAACTGCTCCATAGGGTTTTAGGCTGTCATCTTTATGGGAGCTGATCTCCTGGTCTTTTTCCTGTCCAGGTGTTGGGTAGGTTCAAACCTCCAACCTTGCAACTGAGAACAGCAAAGCACTTAACTGTTGTACCACAAGGGTGCCTTAAAGATTGGCTGGAGTGCTACAGAACTCTCAAGCCAGATGCCTGTCTGGATCTGCACCCACCCACTTCCATCATTTTCTAACTATGTACCTTACGATTGGTTGACAGTTCAATCAATCAATCACACATAGTCGAGTGTGATAGAAGGCTATGAAGGGATAAGTAGGCACAGGAGCTTTAATAATAGCCCTAAAAGGGAGAGTTGGGCTTTGCATTTTGTTGTTGTTGTTGAGTGCTATCAAGTCACTTATGTCTCATCGCAACTCTGTATAGGGATTCCGGGGCTTTAAATCTTTGAGTAGAAACCTTCATCATTCTCCCTCAGAGAAGCTAATGGGCTCAAACTGCCAACCTTGTGATTGGTTCGCAGTCCTGTTATCCTGTAGATCTACTGCACTCCTCCCCCCTCCCCACCCCCGCTTTGCACTTAAGGGGCAGGTAATAAGTTCTCCTGCCACCAAGTCATTTCCAACTCACAGCGTCTCTATATAGGCTTTCTGAGGCTATAAATCTTTACAGGAGCTGAAAGCCTCATCTTTTTCTGGAGGAGCAGCTGGTAGATTCTAGCTCCTGACCTTGAGGTTAGCACATTCCACTATGTAATCAGGGCTCTTATCTACTTTGTTGTTGTTGTGAAGTGCTGAGTTGGTACTGACTTACAACAATCTGTATAGGGTTTCCGAGAAGCAGCTGGTTGAATTTGAAACACAGACCTTGTGTTTCAGATCAACCATGGGGACCAGTGTTTCTCCTACAGCACCATACCACGACTCCAACCACTCCATTGTTGTTGTTGTTAAGGAGCAAGTAATTGCTAATAATATTGAAACATGAGGAGGAATACCAGAATACTGTCAGATATAGTACCAGAAAATGAGCTTCTCAGGTTAAAAGACACTCAAAATATGATTAAGGAAGAGCTGCCTCCTCAAAGTACAGTTGGTCATGACACAAATGGAGTAAAGCTTTCAGGACCATCATTTACTGATGGGACACAACTCAAATGAGGAAAAATGTAAATATAAATGTAAATATCCATTAGTAATTAGAAAATGAAAAATATGAAGTATGAATGTAGGAAGATAGGAAGTTGTCATAAATGAAATGCAATGCATAAAGATTGATATCTTAGGCATTAGAGAGCTGAAACGGACAAGTATTGGACATTTTGAATCTGATAGTCACATGGCTTACTATGCCTGGAATGACAAATTGCACACTTATGGCATCACATTCATCATTAAAAAGAACATATCAAGATCTATTTTGTTCATCCCCTCCATACACAGAGTAGACAGGGATGGGCAATTTAGACCTTGGCTACCCAAAATGGGGGGGTGGGGAGAGCTACAAAGGCAAGAAGTGACTGGCTTACAAGCTTTCAAGAGGGAGCCTAGATTCAGAGGGCATGGAGGAAGGTAAAATCTCCAATGAGTAGTATCCAATCTGTCTGGGCGGGGCAGATGAAAGGAGATGCATATAGGTCTCTTATGGTACAATAGTGAATAATTATTATCAGGACTGACTGGGAGGGTTAGAAATGTAAAGGTAGATGTTTTGTAGCAAAAGGAGGGAAGTGATTGACTTTGCAGTCCAGGAGCAGAGGTCCCTGGGACCATCAACGGAGAAGAGCAGAGTGCAGGACCCTACCCAGAGAAACAGAGACACCAGAGATGGATGACGTGGAGAGATGGAGCAACTGGGGACTCTAGACCCAGAGAGGGAGAGGGGTTGTGTGCTGACGATTGGGGGACAGGCTGCAGGTTATACCCTTTAGTTGGTTGATGATGCATGGAGGGGATTGTAACCATGGCAACAAAATGATATATACGATAAGATGAATGTAAAGCTAACATTCTCCCATATAAACTATCACATAATTCACAATAAAATATTGAAAAAAAAAAAAGATTACACCCAAGCAAAACAAAACAAAAATACATTTTGTTGAAGTACAATGCTATCTGTGATAGGATAATATCCATACGCCTACAAGGAAGACTACTATTCAAATTTATGCACCAATCACTAAAGCTAGCGATAATGAAATTGAAGAATTCTATAAACTTCTTCAACCTGAAATTGATCAAACATGCAATCAAAACGTATTGATAATTACTGGCGATTGGAATACAAAGGTTAGAAACAAAGAGGAAGGATCAGTAGTTGGAAAATATGGCCTTGGTGATAGAAATGATGCTGGAGATCGCATGATAGAATTCTACAACACCAATGACTTCTTCAGTGCAAATATCTTTTTATAAACAACATAAAAGATGACCATACATATGGAGCTTGGACTCCTGGTATAGCGTTTTAAGATCAGCACTGGACTGCCACAAGGTCTACAGTTCAAACACACCATGCTCCTAGGAAACCTTATGCAGGATCGCCATAATT